ATAAAGGGAATACCTTATACAGCAGTTGCTCATTCTCACTCCACAAAGCCATCGAATTTAAATACAAGCCAATATGAAAGTTTGGATCAGACTTACCATTGTAAATCTGGAACCTCGGTATGTTGAATCTTTTTGGGGCTTCAAATGTGTCTAACTCCACCGAGAATGACGTCCTTGGCTTGACAGTGGAAGTTACCTCGGCATTTTGTTGCTTTCTTTATAGGTAGTCCTTCAGATCCTCCTTCGTTCTACCGAGAGCTCGGCTATCAATAGACTTCAATCTCTTCGGTATGTTGCTTTCAGTGAAGTTATGTGTCTTCTTGGACTTCTCCTCATCTGCTGCGTCAAAACAAATGTCGTTTCCCTGGATATGCCGAGACTCTTTGACATAGGTTCCCTCGGTTTGTGCTGTCTTCTGCGATTCATCTCGTACTGACTCAATTCGCTTGGCTTCTCGTGACCGCCGATGTGAGTGCTCCAGTCCCTTGCTATCTTGTGGGACTATTGGGATTGTTTTCTGCCCCCCTTTTTGGGCATTAGTTTTGGCCACTGGTATCGACGTGCCCTACAACAGAAATGATGGTTGCATCACGTTGTTGTGCATTATGAAGTTGATAACCGACTGTAGGTCTGCCAACTTGTTCGCTATTCCTTTCATCTCACCGTCCTTCCTCAGGCATCTATCCTTCCACACCTGGAGGTCGCTTTTGTTGTAATACTCATCTCAGCCACATTTTTTCGAGACGTTACGCTTCTTGCTAGCGTCCTTGTCTCTGGGGTTCGGCTCCCATACTTTTTTGTTACGATTTTCTTCCCTGACATTAGGATCCATATGCTCACCACTCTCACTGTGGATGTCGTTCCCAATCTTTTTTTCCTATCCGTTGTTGGCCATCTATTCTCCTCAAGTTTCCACAGACAGAGCCAAATTGTGAGTGTTGATTTCCGACCACACAGCCAAACGGGGAACTTAGCTGGAGAGCACGGACAAAATAGATTAAGCCTAACAACATATAGCAAGAAGGTGAGAATTCTGCTGTGGTTTGTCCACCTGGGGGCACTCCGACGATCAAGTCAGTAAACAATATCTTTTACAGATTGTAAATAATACTTAAACTCACAAGAAAGAACTTACCTTTGACCCACGAGGGTGCCTCGCTTTTATAATCAACAGTGGCTTGATCCCTTTAGAAGCATCACTTCAATGGACTCAGGCTCAATACTCATCTTGGACACTCAGCTAGATAGAGATGAACTCTCCTTGAGCCTTATCTTTATGCAGACTGAGATCCTCTCCTGCTCTAAGACTCAGGTCCCTTATCTACTTATCTCGGATTCCAGTATCTTCGTAGATAACCTCAGCCTAGTCGAGATCATCTCAGCAGCGTGATCTGGCCATGTGGCACCTCGGCTGACACTTCGACGTCACCTTAGCCACATGTCGTTATTCATAAAATAGTTCCCCACACAAAGCCACCACAAATCGTTGTTGAAAACGGACAAGTGCAGATCTTCTCCCTCTGTTTTTTCTAGATCTAAAAGAAGAAAGAAAGGAGGAAGAGGAAAAGGAAGGAATAAGGGGGTGATGCGGCTAGAAGAGGACTGCCGGAGGAGGTTGCTAGAGGAGGAGAAGGGTTGAGGGGGTCACCGAAGCTGCTGGAGAAGATGGCCGACACTAGAGAGGCGTGAAGTGTGAACAACAATTTTTTTTTTCTTTGAGACATTACAAAAATCACTAGGAAAGCCCTGCAGAGAATCCAAACTCATCTCTCTAGTGTAGGCATTAATAGAGTGGGGTTGACTCCCCATATAAAAGATACAAGGATCCCAAAAGAAGGATCCCAATAGTCAAATAATTAAACAAATAGATAAATAATATTGTTTTATGTTTGATATTTAGCCTAGGGCTTTGAAAACCCTAATACAGTGGGAGGTGAGGAGTGGACTCAATCAATGTAAGTGTTGGATGGACGGTTGTGTGGAGGAAGACATAATAAAACCCAGTGATGCAAAGACAAAGTCGTTGAAAGATTGGAAGGGGAATATTTGGGAGAATGAAAGGGAATTTAGAAGATAATATGGAATTATTTTATGTGAAAACATATGCAAGCAAACAAACACCCCTTTGTGGGTCTCTCTATCACTCAGGTAAATGGGTCTCTCTATCTTTACTTTGTATTGTACATGTAAATTATAACTCAAAATCTCATTGTAACTTGATTTTCATTTTAAATATATATTAAAAAAATTTGGACAGGTTAAATTTTACCCTTTTATCCCTCAACTAAAAATAATTTATTATTACTATTTAATTTTAACATTTCATTTCCGATTAACATAGTGACACGTGAGTGTAGATGCCAATTTTATAATCAAAATGCTCTTTTAAAAGTTGATTTATGTACAAACATGTGCAGCCGTACCGGGACCCCCAGTGGGCGCACCTTAGCCCCACATGGAAGCTGCGCAAGGCTTTAAAAAAAAAAAAAAAAAATTTTTTTTTTTTTTTTTTACCAATCAGATTCCATGGGGGCTTGGGGTCACCCCCAGGGGTTTGATGCATTTTTCCAAACATGTGATATATGTATTTCTCTGCGGTCATGAAAGTGATATGTACGTTTGTCTTTTCATTTTTGAGCAAATTACAAACACTCCTCGAGGTTTGGTAAAAATATAAATTTCTTCTTAAAGTTTGAGAAATTATATTTTATTTTTTGAGATTTATATTTTTATAACAAATTACCTCCTGAGATTTTTATTTTTATACAAATTTTCCCCTAATTTTTCTTAATTTGTTATGAAAATTTGACCTTCAGGAGACAATTTATAATTTCTCAAACCTCAGGGAGAAATCTATATTTTTACCAAATCTCGAGGTGTTTATAATTTGCCCTTTCTTTTTTCTTTTTTTCCCACTTAATTTTCATAGGATATGAGAATATATATATATATATATAAATTAGCTTTTAAATGAACATTTTAGTCAAAACATTGAAATGTAAAACTCACATACAAATCTCCTGTCTTCTTTTCATAATAAAAAGTAAACATAAAGTTAATAAATTAAAAGTATGGGATAAAATGTGATAATTTTGAGTTCGGAACAAATCATCTCCATAGTGGACTGAACCATGCTGTTCAGGTTCATGAGATTCACCACGGATCCTATTTTGATAATGTGAAATATTTAATATGTAAAGTTCGTTAAGTATTTCATTTTTGCAAAAAATTAAGTTGATTGGATATCGATAACTATTTGATTTTATCAAATTTCTGTCAACAATTTATTTTGAAAATTATATTTACTGTTGACAAAAATATATTTTAATCAAGTGGCTATCGATATCCGATTAATGTGATTTTTTTGCAGGGATGGAGTATTCAGCGAGTTTTACATATTGAATGATTCGAATTATTGAAATAAGACAAGGGGTCGGCCTCTACGAGTCCAACAATACGCTTTAGTTTGATCTCAAACTAGAAAGAAGCCTGACCCTTTTGAATTAAGGAGATACGATGATAATGTGTTTAGTTGAGTGATTTGAGGAGGAATTTCAAAATAAAAAATAAAAAATAAAAATGTGTGAAATTAAGTAAAATATAGATATATTCTATTTATATTTCACCTACATTTTTTTCTTTCTTTTTCCAAATCATTTCACAAATTCTTTAACCAAACATAGCCTTAAAATAGAAATGGAATTATCTTAATTTATTAGCTATGCTAGGTAGGGGTGATCATTGATCTGTCCTACCCGCCTAACCCAACTGAACCTGATTGATTTTGGGTGAATGATTGTTTTTCAGCCAACGGATACAGATGAAATATTTTGAAATCTACGAATACTGTTCGCATGACAGATCAACCATCTCGCACCTACATGAACCCGATTAGTCCGTAGATGAAGTTTAAAAAAAAAAATGCTAACAAGTAACAACATAGAAAATAAATAATAAAATATATAGTTTTGTGAAAATAGAAAACAATACCTTAAAAATATACATATGTGATGCCACGGCCTATTATAGAAAAATAATACATACATATATATATTTTCAGATTATTAGTTATTGAAAATTGTAAAAGTAATGAATTATAATTCAAAAAAAGTCCAAAATTTGTAAAGCCCAAACCGCTAAACTGATCATATCCATCAGTCAATTCGGTACAGAGAAGCAAATTAATTTTTTTTAATCTGTTTAATTTTAAACGGATAACAGATAGGATACCATTCGATCAAACCCGATCCACAATCACTCCGAATGCTAGGTTCTCATAATTTGGTACTAGGAAGTTGATTAAAAAAAAAAAAATTAGTATGTTACTTGGATTCATTTTATAGGTAGACGCTATCAACGAAAGTTGAATTAAAGGTAATTTACATTTATATTACTGAGATTTGGATTTAATACATATCACTCTTTGACGTTTAGAAAATTATACTAACTTTTATGCCATTGTAATTATTTAAACGGAATGAAAACATTGAACTCATGTACTCTATCTTTTTTTACTTTGCTTTACTACTTCTTTTTTTTTTTTTTTCCCTTTTCTTTGCTTTACTATTTTTTTTTCAATATAATTTCTTATATTTTTCTAATGGGAGCTGTTGTCTTTCATATAAGGAGTATTCGTGAAATGAGACTATTAACTATCATAGAGGTGAAAATGTAATTTTCAAAATATTAAGAAATGTGATGTAATTAGACTATATCTCAGAGGTGTTAGTATGATTTTTTTTTTTTTGATCAGAAGGGATGTAATTATGAATAATATTAGGAATCATTAAAAAAATATTATGAAATGTTTCATGAAGAGTTTTTATCCTTTCATTAGTGTATGGTGTTTTTTTATATGTATAATCTAACAGTAGAAAATCTTTCATGATTATTTTCATGATATTTTTCATAATACCTAGCATTACTCATAATTTATCTTTAAATTAAAGTTTTCTGTTATTTCTAGAAAGAATAAAACAAAAAGTGTCATATATGAGAGAGAGAGAGAGAGAGCGAGAGAGAGAGGAGAGTGGGTAAGGGATCTCTCTCTTAATAATTTTTATCCCGTCGTCTGCGGGGAAGGAAATCCAAAGGGACCAAATCTACTCTACTCTTTTTCTTTTCATTTGTATTTTTGTTTTTGCTTTTCTTTGAATTATTTTTTGTTTTTGTTTTGTGATTTGCGTGTTTGGACTGGAATGGGAAAAGACCTTGCTCCTAGTGTATGTCATTTTCCGTGATATACTCTCCCTCCAGGGTGTAACATAAACCAATCCCAAATCCTTCAACCTTTCTGGAATTCCTCTTTTCTTTCTTGAATTTTTGCCCATTCCATCTCTCTCTCTCTCTCTCTCTCTCTATAGCATGTGTCTTTGAAGAAGATATAGGGGAGTCTTCTTTCTCTATCTTCATCCTTCTTTAAGTTTTCTTTCCGCTTTAGTCTTTAAAGCTTTGCATACCAACCAAGCTGTTTCTTTCGTAACTTTCTATACTTGAGAAGCCAAGTTTTCTGTCTCACAAATCTCCAAAGAAATCGAAAAGCTCAAGAACCACTTACAAACATAGTTGTAGTCTTTTCTTTTCTTTTTTTTTTTCTTTCTTTTACCTTCTTTTTAAAATTATTTATTTTTATTTTATATGTTGGAGTCAATTAAGATCAGAGAAAAGCCACACCATTTGTTAACAGAATCCAATAAAAATGCCCTTGGAAGGGATTTTTATTGAACCCTCTTCAAACCCACATCAAGTTCCTGATCTCTCTCTCCACCTTAGTCCCCCCAACAGCACTACATCAATTTGCAGTATTGAAGAATTAGACACAACAAAGTTCAACCTCTCGATCCGCCACGAAACCCTCAAGTCCAACACCGCCAGCTCTTTCAGAACCGACACCTACCAAGCTTGCACGGAGCTCTCTCTAGCCCACCCGGCAAATACCCTCAAAGACGGTGGTCCATGCCCTAGAAATTTCACTGGTGGAGCCCAAGTACAACCACAAACCCCTTATCATCATCATCATCAAAGCCACTATATCCACCAATACCCTAGTAGTGCTAGTGCTAGTACTAGTACCCAGTTAAATCACATAAACCATGGTGTTTCTTTGCTCAATGTATCATCGGATGGCTTGGAGCCGATCAAGGGTATTCCTGTGTATCACAACCGTAAATTCCCCTTCTTGCCATCGGACAATGCTAGAGATCCCAAAATGTCCTTGTATCCAATGTCTTCACCTTACTTGGTCAATAGTTTGGATCCCACCATGTCCATCTTGAACTCGAGGCCTAACACGTCTTTGTCGCCTCACCGGATAACCGGTGCCATGAGGATTAATGGGTTGTCGTCGTCGTACCCACTGCAGCATCATCGACACCATAATCAGTATGGAAATGGATGTGGAGTTGGGGCTTCTGCTCATGAGATGATGAGATCGACAAGGTTCATTCCCAAGCTCCCAACCAAGAGGAGCATGAGGGCGCCGAGGATGCGTTGGACGAGCACTCTTCATGCCCGATTTGTACATGCGGTGGAGCTTCTTGGCGGCCATGAAAGTATACAGATTCGTAACGTAGAATAATTATTTCCTAATTTATCCTTTTCTTCTTTCTTTCTTTCCAAATTTCACCCTTTTTGTTTTCTAATGTTTGGTGCAAGTGTTTGTGCTTTGGGTATTTTTAGGGGGTAAGTTTAGATCTTACTTTTGGATGGTTTTCAAATTAGGGGCTACTCCAAAGTCAGTTCTTGAGCTCATGGATGTCAAAGATCTCACACTAGCTCATGTCAAGAGCCATTTACAGGTACAACAAAAAGGAAACAAAAACTCAATCACTTTCACATCTCTCTCTCTCTCTCTCTCTCCCCTCTGTTTGCTGTCTTGCGGCACAGTAGTCGATGAGTGCAGTGAATGAATGAGTTAAAGAAGAAGAAGACTGATCTTCTGTGAGAGAGAGAGAGAGAGAAAGAGAGAGAGAAAAGTAGAATGATATCAGACAAAAGTAAGTCATCATTTTCCAATAATAATACAGATCATTACTACCTTATCAAACAACAACCTCGTGATTAATGAAGAAACCGAGGCAAGACTCAGAAGCCCACAGAACGAGAGAGAGAGAGAGATCTGAGATGGGTTGTAATTAACAATAATATTTCCTTTTTCTTTTATCATTATTATTTTATAATTCTCATTCCATTCAAATTTATTTTGAAACGCTTCGTGATGACTTCGCAGATGTATCGAACTATTAAAACCACTACTACTGACAAGCCTGCAGCTTCCTCAGGTAATTCGCTCGCTTGCTTAGCTTTCAGATTTTTATTTATTTATCTTTTTTTTCTCAATTCAATTGCGCGCGTGCACACACACATATATATATATGTATATATAAAATACCCACTTGGAAAAGCCCCCTCTTCCCAGTTGTACAGTTCGTACTCCATTTTATTGAATACACTGTGTATAAGTATAACAGAGACACAGTGTCCTTGGATAGATGCAGAAATGCATGCATGATTAATTATAGTATGTATACACATGACATGACATGATACATATATATCTATTTGTTGTCCGGGTCCAATGGGGGGTTTGGAGGCGTCTTAATCCTAAGGAAAAGGGGTTCAGTTTCTATGCTCATAATCAATGATGGGGTGTTTCTTGTAATCCTTTTTTGATTATAGTAAAAACTGCAATAATCGTAAATTTAGTCTTGTTCTGGAGTGAATCACACAAATTAGGGAGAGTGTATTTTTTAACATTATTTACATATGCACTGCATTGCTAAATGTCAAGCCATGTGTTGGACAATTTAGTGATTATTTTTGAAGGGATGTGATTTGCAAAACATAATTTTTGTAAAAAAGAATTCCATAAGTATGATGTGTTGATGATATTTTTAAAATAATAAGTAATTTTTATAAATTTTTTAATTTGAAATGAATGAATATTAATTTAATACATCATTATATTTAAATTTTATGCACAATTTTTTTATTTTATTTTATTTGTTTATCCTTACTTTTTCTTGAAGGGCAATCGGATGGGTCTGGTGAAGAAGAAATGTCTACAATGGGCAATGCAAGTGACCGAAGTCAGTTCATTGACCAAAGAAGCGGTCTTTCTGACGGCTCTTTCCCACAAGAAACAGACTTTCCTTCTACTCTCCGGACTAGTTCTTCAAGGTACACCACTCCACTCATCTCTCTCCCTCTCTCTTTTGCTATCTAAAAAAATGAGAATTTTAATTTGTAATTTTTTTAAGTTGGTTTTTTAGTTTTCTTTTTTTTTAATTTTTTAACCTGAGACGTTTTTGGTTGTTTGGTATTTTTGTTTGACTTTTTTGACTTTTTAGCTTTGAAATGGATTTTTTTTTTTTTATCTTTTTGTGATTTTTTAATCCAACTTAAAAACCAAACTAACCTTTTTAACAAAATTTGTATCTTTCTTTTTTTCTTTTTTTGAAAAATAATAGAACATTAGCAGGATAATAAGATGACTTATCACGCCAATCAAATATAGACTTCAAATGATGAATTTTTAGTCATGACTATAAGGCCTCGTTTCTGAACAGATTAATTTTGTAATTTTTTATCTATTTAACTAAAATATAAGTTAAAAAAAACTAGTATGTTTGGGATGACTTTTTGACTTTTTACGAAAAGATGTGCAAAAAATAGAGAGAAAAGAGAATTTTTGACTTTTTAGTATGAATTGTTGACTTTTTGACTTTTTTAATAATTTTTTGACTTTTTAACTAAATGGGTTGGTTCCCAAACGAGGCCTAAATAACAGATATGGTTAATGTAAAATATTTAATAATATTAACTGTTATAGTAGTAAATAATGATATTGATCATTTAAAAATCTAATACGTAATAATAAATAACAGTGGAAATTTATAAGCCAAATTTTGACAAAATGAACTAGTCGAGTTGAATCTGTGAGTCATATGATATGTTGCAACAGAGTGAAATGCCAACGTAATCATTAATGATAATACAATGGTTTCCTTTTCCTTTTGCATGGTTTGGTACCCAAATGCAAACTCACGTCCACCATTTTTTAGGAATAAAAGGGTTCTTGTGGCAGCTTTTGCTTTTGTTCTGTTCTGTTTGTTTCTTCTTCTTTTTTTTTTTTTCAAATATTTTTTTTGCTTTTGGAAGATTTTCTGATAAGCTTCTTAGATATGTTGCTTTGCTTTAACGGGAATGGGATTTTTTTTAAAATATATATATATATACAAACACTAATCAATTAGGATATCATATGGGAAAGCAACACCTGCTACACTTTTTGCTTTATCTTTAGAAATTATATCCAATTGCTATTTTTAATTACTAAAGGTTGGCTCTTATTCTCATCACGAGGAGACTGCGTGTGTGACCAAAAGAGGACTGCCTAGTCTTAAGGAGCCAAGGTTCTCTCCTTGCAGCCTCGTACTTGCGTCCGTCCTTGCAGGCCTTCGGGTCTACTTTTAGGCCCAATTTTGATAATCCGAACCGTTCATATTTTATAATTTATTCAGTATATCATACCTGTAAAAAATCAAGTTGATCGGATATCAGAAAGCATGTGTTCGAAAAATTGAACTAAAAACTATTTTTTAAAGAATTTAATAAACAGTTTTCCGAACACATACTTTCTGATATCCGATCAACTTGATTTTTTACAGGTATGATATACTGAATAAATCATAAAATATGAACGGTTCGGATTATCAAAATTGGGCCTAAAAGTAGACCCGAAAGCCTGCAAGGACGGACGCAAGGATGGGAGCTGCAAGAAGAGGATCCTCATTCAGTCTTAAGTGCTCTCTCTTTTTCCTATCTTTAACTTTTTAGATGTCTTGTATGATTTTCGGCTTTTACATGCTTGGTTTTCAATTTAAATTTTATATTTTGTATCAATTTAGTTTAATTAATATTATTATTTATAATTTTTGATAAAAAAATTATTATTAAATTAGTTAAGATTAACTTATTAAATTGTGCAAACTTATTTTAAAAAAAAAATTCTCTAAAAGCATGAAATATGCTTTCTACATCCATATTTTCCATTAAAAATGCTAGTAGGAGTAGTCAATTGAAACAAATATAAAATTATAAATTTAGGATTAACATCAAACCAATTAAAATTATATGAAATAAAATGACCAAAATATAAAACCACTGATGTAATTTGTCTTAGCTTTTTATCCCTATTTATCTAAAGAAAATAATTATAAACAAAATTTGTATGTAAATTTTTTATATATATATATATATAAAATGATGTGATCATTTCATCGTTGATCATATTATTAATGTGTACTAATTAGGTGTTATTTTTTATATAAAAAATGATAAGATATTGACATCTAAAAAATCATATTCAGCAGTATTGGTTTTGATTTGAAATAAAAATATCATAAAAATTAACATCATAATGTATAAATAATTAAAAATTGTAACGTCCTGAAATAAATACAATAAACCATCTATAACGATAATTAAATGACAATATAAATCAGAATAAAATATCCTTTCATTACATAAGACACAGTTGTATAAGAAAGGTGACACATGCGAATATAATTCATGAGTTCTAACCCTGAATTTCTAGCATGTGTCAACAACAAAATATGAAATAGAAGTTAAACAGATAATGGAAATGCCCTGAAGGCTAAAATTTTCCAAGACAATGCTTGGATACATCAAAAGTGAGTCTTAAGCTCAATATAAATAAGACCTTAGACTTGTACAAAAATTAAATACAAAATAATAAAACTGAGTCTTCAGCTCTACAGTCCTCCCAACCTAATTTATTGGTGGAGGCATATCACCAACACCTGAAAATAGTTTTCCCATATAAGGTGAGTCAACGCCGAGTAGAAATAATCGAACACAATATACGAAATTTAACAAAGAAAGATATAAGGGTGAAATACATATGCAATACTCAAATCATGTTCTTTACAGTAGAAAACAAGGGGGAATTTTCAAATTGGTACAACATTTCATAGATATTTCATCCACGAAAAACCGTCAAACAGCAACCATGTAAACGTAGTCTATACAAGCTCTACTATTATCATTTTACGAATATTTCGTCTGCGGGAATCGACACCTATGTATACGAGCATTTTTCAGGATTTTCACATTGGACACACAGACCAACTTAATTTGGTGATACACATCCCTTTTCAACATTCACTTATTTTTCTCAAATTCATATACATATGCAATGTATTAAATAAGTAACAATGTTCAATGCATATGGATGAGAAATTAGTTTTAATTCCCCTAATCTGTATATAATTTCTATAACAATCATACTTATTTTCCACTGATAGCTCAAAATAAATATTTCTAATCAGATATACAATCTCCAATACAGATAAACTTTTCAAATTTTAAGGTGAGTGATAATACATATCCAACCCCACCATCCATCTTAACATCCATCCAATTTCACATTTTCAACATTAATTCCATTTATTTATGCTAAATAAATATTTGAAACATTTAGAGCAAAACTCATTTTTCTTTCAAAATTCAATCCAAGTATCAAAATCAATAATTTTATCACCACTCAACCTCATTTCCCCTCCCACAACCATTTTCCATACATCTATTTGAAAACTCCTCTTTTGATTTTAAACCAAAACTCTAGATTTTTTCAAAATCCTCCAAAACCACAAGATTGTTTATGAAAAGCAAATAGCTACGTTAAAAATCATGAAGGAGTAAAAAATCCCTACTTCAAAGGTAGAAGACCAAGGAGAGAGTGATGACACTTTCACAACGCCAAAACCAACTTTATTCGAATGACAACAAAGTTCTAGGTGAGCTATACCTTTTTAACAAAGGGAACATGGTGAAGAAATTAATAGATCTTGGTGTATTTGTAGAGAGAGAGAGAGCGAGAGAGAGTAAGTTCTATAGAGAAGAACTCTAGATTTAGGGTTTTCAAATGTTTAGAGAGAGAAATATATGAAAAAGTGATATAAAAAGTGACTTTTATGAACTGATATACGCACAGTCCGCTTAAGCGCAAGAAGTGACAATCGAGCGTCCAGACATAATAAGTTGCACCGCTCGAGCTCAAGAAGTGAAGCTCGAGCGTAGAATATACACTCTTAGTAGTTTTACAGATAGAAGACCATCGCTCGAGCGAAAGAATGGCCGCTCGAGCATACAACCACTCGAGCATAAGAAACACCGCTCCAGCGTAAAATATACTCTTCCAGTAGTTTTACAGGCCTGTAAAAGTACTGAGAGTTCACAAAGACTGCTCAAGCGTGAGAGTTTTGCAGGCCTGTTCCAAATACGACCAACACATCCCGATAGGCAAACTCAAGGAGGGAAAAGAGGAATAAGACAAGAACAATAGTACAAAACCAAGAAATTCGAATTCAAAATATCAAATGGGTCGAGTCTTAAACCAGAATCGCAATATTAATGATATATGTATATATATATAGGGTATGGCTTCTGTCCAGCTCGGAATTGGACTGGACCGTGCTGTTGGGCCCGTGGGGGCCTACCACGGGTCCCGTTTTGATAATCTGAGCCGTTAATATGTAGAAATCATCGAGTACTATATTCCCGTAAAAAATTACGTTGATCGGATATCGATAGCTATGTGATCAAAACAGTTTTTTGTCAACCGTTAATTTGTTCACCGTCCAATTTTTTTAATACGAAACTGATTTGATCATATAGCTATCGATATCCGATCAACGTGATTTTTTACAGGCATATAGTACTCGACGAGTTCTACATATTAAGCGATTCAGATTATCAAAATGAGACCCGTGATAGGCCTCCACGAATTTAACAGTACGATCCAATCCGATCCCAGACTGAACAGAAGCCATACTCATATTATATATATATATATATATATGTACACTAGAGGTGTAATCTGACATTATAGACTTGCCAATGACATTATTCAAGTTTGAAACAATTAATAACTAAGACATTATTCACCTTGTTTAGTTATTCCTGTTTTTTCTGAAAATTAAATTTTTTATTTTTATTTTATTTTGTATATAATTTTTTTTAATATTTTATGCAAATTCTTGCTTTTTTAGATACACCTAATATCCTAGATAGACCTATTAAGTATATTATTTGTAAAATAAAATATTTAAAAGATTCACCAAATACAAAAAATAATGAATTTTTAAAAAACTTTT